GACTGAGGCGGAAGGATCGCCAGAGCCCAGCGGGTCGAGGCTGCGGTGGCCGGGAGCGGCCGTGCACTCCAGTCTGGGTGACAGAGTGAGACTCCAACTCAAATAAATAAAATAAAAAATAAATAAATAAAAAAAATGCAACAATATTGTCCTACAACACACGCATAAAGTGCAGGACAGTTTTGCACACATACCCCGTTCCCCCCAACCCCCATTCTCCTCTCATGCTGCTCCCCGCAGGATGACCTGATCAGAGTCAGGGGCACTCAGTCTCCCCAGGAGCCAGGGGTGGGAGTTGGGGGGAGCTGGGGGGCGGGGAGGGTGAGGCAGGGAGATCTGGGGGAGTCAGGGGTGAGGAGGGAGGACGGGGAAAGAAGCGGCCCATGATGCAGGCCGTGGGCAGCCGCCAGGGCACCCACAAGGCCGGCCCGTCTGTCCCTGCGTCCACCACGCAGCCTCCTGGCGGCTGCATTCACGTCCGAGCCGTCCCGGGTCCCAAGAAGCCAGGAGATCCCCTCCGAGGTCTCCCATGGACCAGGAGACCTCAGTCCCTCCCGGGGCCACCACCTGCCAGGCCGAGGGAGCTGGAGCCGGGCGGTGGAGGGCCTGCCCTGGGATGCCCAGCTCTGGACCACCCTCTCCGGGGCGCCCCCGTCCCAGGCCCCCTTCCTGGCTAACCTTGCTTCTTGGGCCATCCCAGCCCACTTCCAGTCCTGCCCCCTAAGGAACACAGCAGCGCAGGCTTTTGGGACTTTTATTGCGCCGGGGTGGGGTGTGGAGAGATGGGCTGGGTGGTCCGGGGGAGGGCTTGGGTGCATGTGTTGTGGCAGGCGGCTGACCCCCCACCGGCAGCCGAACCGACTGTGCTTGGAGACTGAATCCCTCGCTGCAAAACAAGGGGCGGGTGGCCGTCTCCTGCCTCTGCACCCCCCAGCTCCCGGTGCTCCGGTCACTTCCTCCCCCCCACCCCCTGCCCTGAGATGGGGCCCGCTCACCTAGGAGATGACGCCGGCACACTGGTCTGCAGGAGAGATGGGCCTGAGGGACTGTGCCGTGCCCGGGACCCTGGGCAGAGCCCCCCATGGTCCCCCACACTGTG